ACCAACACCTTCCCTGCCGCCTCCTTCACCGCCCCCACCTTCCGCATCGCCTCCTTCACCGTCACCTCGCCCTCCGCCTCGTCCTCCCTTTCCCCGATCTTCACCGCCTCCTTCACCGTCGCCCCCGCCTCCACCAACACCTTCCCTGCCTCCTCCGTCCCCCTCACCTCCTCCTCCACCAACACCTTCCCTGCCGCCTCCTTCACCGCCCCCACCTTCCGCATCGCCTCCTTCACCGTCACCTCGCCCTCCGCCTCGTCCTCCCTTTCCCCGATCTTCACCGCCTCCTTCACCGTCGCCCCCGCCTCCACCAACACCTTCCCTGCCTCCTCCGTCCCCCTCACCTCCTCCTCCACCAACACCTTCCTTGCCTCCTCCTTCACCGCCCCCACCTTCCGCATCGCCTCCTTCACCGTCACCTCGCCCTCCGCCTCGTCCTCCCTTTCCCCGATCTTCACCGCCTCCTTCACCGTCGCCCCCGCCTCCACCAACACCTTCCCTGCCTCCTCCTTCACCGTCACCTCCGTCTCCCTCCCCTCCCCTCCTCCTTCACCGCCCCCACCTTCCGCATCGCCTCCTTCACCGTCACCTCGCCCTCCGCCTCGTCCTCCCTTTCCCCGATCTTCACCGCCTCCTTCACCGTCGCCCCCGCCTCCACCAGCACCTTCCCTGCCTCCTCCTTCACCGTCACCTCCGTCTCCCTCCCCTCCCCTCTGGATGCCGCCCCCTTTTCGGTTGCCTTCTCCACCTCCCTCTCCGTCGCCCCCGTCGCCGCTGCTGCCCCCGTCGCCGCTACCACCGGCCCCACCTTCACCAAGATCTCCCCCCATACCCAGACCGCCCCCACGTCCTCGCACGCCACCACCGCCACCGAAGCCCCCCTCACCTCCCCCTCCCCTTACACCCTCTCGCTCTTCGTCCCCACCTACACTGTCACCTCCTCCGCCATCTCCTTCCCTGCCCTCTCCATCTCTCTCATCGCCTTCTCCACTGCCGCCTCCCCCTCGGCCGCCTCCACCTTCCCCATCACCTTCTCCATCACCTCCCTCTTCCCCACCTCCCTCCCCACCATCGCCAGCGCCTTCCCGCCCCTCACCGCAATTCCGGGCGTCACCTTCACCTTCACCTTCACCTCCATCGCCACCAAGTCGGCCGCCACCTCGCCCTCCAGGACCACTCCCACCATCACCTCTGCTCGCAAGTCCTCCCCCACCTCTACCCTCGCCTCCACCGCCAAGACAATCCCCACCACCACCATTGGCTCCCCGGTTTCCCCCAGCTACACCGCCCCCTTCACCGCCCTCCCCACCACCCAGACCGCGCCCGCCGCTTCGACCGCCCTCCCCAAAGCCTCCCAACCGCTTACTGTTGCCCCCACGCCCGCCACCGGACGCTGCTCCACCACCGTTTGATGATTTACCGCCCTTTGGCTGGGCCCCGCCGCCTGAGGACCTGGCGCCGGACACTCCGCCCCCGGCACGCCCGCAGCTACGCAAAAAGTCCCCACCTCCCCCGTCGTCGTCATCCCCGGCTCCTGTCTCCGGACCGGTCGCAAAAGTGCTGCAGGGGCCCCAAAGTCCGCGACCTGTATCCTGATCGGCAATGGTCCCCCATTATCGCGGAGTGCCCAGGTAAAGTAGGGCTTCATTGCCTCTGCCTTAGCA